AAAAAAGTACTCTTTTTTTAATTGAAGAAAACGTAATTTAATAACCAGTTATGTTGGGGATACTTCCAATTTCACAGTGGTTCTGCTGATCTTAGTGTCTTGAAACAAAGGAACCTCTACAAATATATACTACCGCTATTAATATCAGTGCTTAAAGCCTTAGACACATAGATATTTGCCTTTTTTTCCTTACATAATTGCTTTTTAACCCAACTTAAAAAAATTTCTTTAACGTTTTTATTTCTAAGAGAGAGAGACAGCGTGAGCAGGGGAGGGTCATAGAGAGAGGGAGATACAGAATCTGAAGCAGGCTCCAGGCTCTGAGCTACCTGTCAGCACAGACCCATGAACTGACGCGGGGCTCGAACCCATGAACCATTGAGATCATGACCTGAGCTGAAGTCGATGCTTAACTGACTGAGCCACCCAGGCGCCCCATTAACTCAAGTTTTTAATGTATTGTCTTATATGTAACCTTTATGAGCAAGCATATCATCACTCTTTTCATAACATCTCAATATTTCGTCATCTTTCTACCCTCTCCCTACTCATGTTTTTCCTAGACCATTATATAGCCACGTAAATGGTCTCCTTTTCACCAGAATCTGCTTCCTCTCCATCTTTCCTCATCTGTAAAATTAGGTTAAAAAAAAGGTAGTTTTTAAGTTACTTTCTGGTTTTAACATTCTGTGATTTGTCAATTATTTTTCTCATCAACTCAGATTCTGTTAAACCTAAAAGAACTCATCTTTGGTTACACATTAGAGTTAAGTTTAAAAACTTCTTTCATCTGAGGACAGTAGAACAGAATTCATAAAGGAATAAAGTAATGTCTGAGTACCCTTTGCAGAGCTAGACATACCAACAAGTGGAGATCTTGGGGAAAATGGAGATACAAGCATACCTCAAAGATATTGGAGATTCAATTCCAGACCACTGCAATAAAGCAGTGTATAAATATTACAATAAAGTAAGTTTAATAAATCTTTTGGTTTCCCAGTACATATAAAATTACAGTATGTTGCAGTCTATTTGGCGTGCAGTAGCATTCAGTCTAAAAAATATGTATGTAGTTTTAAAATGTTGCTAAAACATGCTAACCATCATCTGAGCTTTTAGTGAGTCATCATCTTTTTGCAAGGGGAGGGTCTTGGTTTTATGATAGCTGCTGACTGATCAGAGTGGTAGTTGCTGAAGGTGGGGTGGCAGTGACATTTTCTTAAAATAATGTTTGTTTATTTTGAGAGACAGAGAGCAAGTATGCATGTGTGCAGGCAGGGTAGGGGGAGAGAGAGAGAGAGAGAGAGATTGAGAATCCCAAGCAGGCTCAGCACCGTCAGCATGGAGCTTGATGCGGATTCCATCTCACAGACTGTGAGATCATGACCTGAGCCTAATATCAGGAGTCAGATGCTTAACCGACTGAGCCACCCAGGCCCCCAAAACTCCTTTTAATGTTGATATTTTGATGTCTTTTTATGAATCATGAATGTTCTTAATGGCATTTTGAATGGTGAATCCTCTCCAGAATGTTTTCAATTTACGTTGCTCAGATCCATCAGAAGAATCACTATTTTGGGCAGTTCTAGCCTTGTGAAATGTATTTCTTAAATAATAAGATGTAAAAGTTGAAATAACTCTTTGATCCATGGGCTGCAGAACAGATGTTGTTAGGTATGAAAACAGCATGAATCTTATACATCTCTATCATAGCTCTGTGTGGCCAGGTGCATTGTCAATGAGTGGTAACATTTTGAAAGGAATCTTTTTCTCAACAGTGGGCTTAAAATATCCAGTAAACCATGATGTAAACAGATATGCTGTATCTTCAGCATGGGCTTCAGCTTAGTTATCAGCTGTATGAGCCCTGACAAGAGAGTCAGCCTATCCCTTGAAATTTTGAAACCAAGCATTACTCATTTCTAGCTAAGAAAGTCTTACATGGCATCTTGCAACAGAAGGCTGTTTTGTCTACACTGAAAATCTGTTTTATACTGTGGCCACTTTCATTAATGATCTTAGATCTTTTGGATAACTTGCTGTAGCTTCTCTATCAGCACTTGCTGCCGCATCACCTTACTCTTTCATGTTACAGAGATGACTTCTTTTCTTAAATCTTTTCTTGAACCAACCTCTGCTGGCTTCAAAGATTTCTTCTGCAGTTTACCCACCTCTGTGTCTTCATAGATTGAAGAGAGTTAGGGTCTTCGATTTAAGGCAATGTTGTGGCTGGTGGCCTTCTATTCAGACCACTAAAACTCTCTGGATATCAGTAACTAAGACTGTTTCACTTTATCAGCATCTGTGTATTCGTGGAAGTAGCACTTTTCATTTCCTTCAAGAACTGTAACTTTGTATTCATAACATGGCTGTTTGGCACGGGAGGCCTAGCTTTCAGCTTGTCGTGGCTGTCAGCATGCCTTCCTCATTAAGCTTAGTCATTTCTAGCTTTTGATTTAAAGTGGTAGACGTGTGACTCTTCTTTCTCTTGAATACTTAGACGTCGCAGTGGGGTTAATTGCCCTAATTTCAATATTGTTATGACTCTGAGAATAGGGAGGTCCCAAGAGAAGGAGAGAGATGGTCAGTGGAGCAGTCAGAACATGGGCAACGTTTATAGATTAAGTTCACTGTCTTATGGGTACAGTTTGTGGTGCCCTAAACAATTCCAGTAGTAAAATCAAAGATCACTGATCACCATGACAAACAAAATAATAATGATGAAAAATTATCATTTGAAATACTGCAAGAATTACCAAAATATGACAGAGACATGAAGTAAGCAAATACTGTTGGAAAAATTGTGCTGATAGACTTGCTCAATGCCAAGTTGCCAAAAACCTTAAATTTATTTAAAAAAAAAAATAATGCCTTCAAGCCACAATAAAGTGCAATAAAATGAGTTATGCCTGGATATGTATATATATGTAGAAATGTATCACCTTTTTTTAGTTTTTTTGGGGGGGGAGATTAGGAGATAATAAAAGGAAGCTTACAATTTCAAAACTATTGGGAAATTTGTATGATATATTTTCTCTTCTAGCAAAAGTTAATACTGTTATGGAAATTGATTCATTACTTCAGGAGGCCTATGTGTTCAATCTAATCTGTGTTAGATTAGGAACATTTCCCAGGCATGAAATCCCTTAGACATCTAAACATGTTTTTCAGAAAAAGGAAAATAATATTTAATAGCTTTGTGTATAAAAACAAGTGCTAGCTGAAGTAAGAATTGTATGCATCATTGGTGTTACTTCTGAAATTCTTGCACACGTGAATTAGGTCATCCTCTGTAGCATCACCATAAAATGTCCAAGGAAAGCATTAAAACCGACCTTACCAACATTTGCATGTGCAACATCTTTTAGACACAGAATATACTCCATTTCATTTCTAGAAATAGATGGATAATCACAAAAGAACCTCCAAATGCAGATCTTTCCATTCAGTTGGTAGGTTTTGTTTAGATTTTTAGAAGTTTTGTTGTGTTTTTTTTTTTAACTGCTGACATGAAATACATGGTTTTTTCCCAATTCTCTGACTCTCCAAAACCAAATAGGTGTCCAACAATTAAGACTTGACACTAACTACCTGAACTTAGCATAACATTCCACAGGTTAAGGACTCAGTTCTTTAACAAGACTGCCCTCACTTCATATATCAGTGACAAGTGAGTGCATGGGTCTTCAGGTTACCTGCACTTCTTTCCAACTTGGAGAGGGTCAGGGTCTGTGGATATATGACTGTTCATAAAGTGAGTTGTTGGTATGTTGCTCTTTAATTTACCAGATTACCCATTCTAGTCCTTTCTTCCTTCCTTATTTTCTCTGATTAGTTAACTACTAATCAGAGGTAGTAGAGAAGACACGGGAGTGTTTTGAATGTTTAATGGTTGAATGTAATTTCTTCTTTCCTCCTTCCTAACTTTCTAACTTCCTTCCTACCTTCTTACCTATCTACATTTTTTTAAAAAGTTGCTTCTGTATGCCAGAGGACATAAGCCCTCATGGAGTTTTCATTCAAAATACCCTCTTTTCTAGGAAAGGACACTGAATTTACACATGGATGAGATGAGTCTTAAATCTTGAAGTGTGAAGAGGACCAACTATGGCAGTTTTCTTTATTTCTTTATGGAGTACTTCTTTATTTAGCATATTTATAGAACCTTTTAGATAATACTTTTTAGTAAATCAGGATTTTAATAGTTGTAGAATCTTAAATGTGAGTGTCTGTTTAAATGCTGCTGCCAGTTTCTTCCACCTCTTCCTCCTATAGAATGAAAAAACATCAGAGTTTTTTCCTTTTTGTAATTCTGATATGGTGCATTTGAAATATTTACTTCATTAAGGGATGAGGAGTGGTTTTTATTTTAAAAAATAAGCACTTTATTACAAAAGATATTGACCTTATCATTCTTTAATATCTTAATATTTCTTTATGTATGTTGAAGTTCTTAGATGATTTTTTAAATGATAAAACTTGTCATAAAAATAGTAATATGTTGTACTATTATTTTTTTGTTAACTGAAATGTTACGTGTTTTTTTTCTGACCATATGTGCAATTTATTTATTTTAGGTGTTGAATATTATGCTCCCTATATGAAAAATAGAAATGTAAATATTTGCAATTCTTTACTGCATGCCTCCTGGTCAAGCTGGTCTAGGTATCTTCTCTTTGAAATGACTTTTAAATCTTAGGAATTTGGGGGTGAAAGGTGACATTTTGACTAACGAAGATAATGTTTGCACTACTGAAAATCATTCTTCATGAAGTGATGCTGTTGTTGGATGAATTAACACTAATCTTTTCTCCTACAGAAAGCTGCTGGAAATAAGACTTTATTACTTTTAATATTATAATTGGTATAAGCTACTATTTGTTTTCATAAATAAAACATGTTGTTTTTCAGAATTTCTGAAGGAAGAAAGAAAAACAGTTGATTAGCCAGTGTGTATTTTGATTTACATAGAATACTTTTTGTTATTCCTTTCAAAACAGACACTCCTTGAATATGCAGAGAAATGGAAAACTTCCGAAGACCCTTTACCTTTATTGGAGGTATACACAGTGGCTATCCAAAGTTATGTTAAAGCCCGACCTTATCTTACCTCTGAATGCGAAAATGTAGCATTGGTTCTGGAACGCTTGGCATTGTGAGTAAACCTTTGAGTAAATAAAAAATCAGATATAGCTCTTTTGTTTTAATTCTGTATTTTAGTCTTTTATGATTCTAATTACAATTTGTTATAATTATAATTAAATTATAAATTAAATTATAATTTAAGTTTAAATAGAATAGTTTTGGGATATCTATTGATACTAGAATGGTTTGTTTTATTTTACTTTAATGAATTTTAACAATTATTTGTATCCTTATCAATTTTTTGTTTTTTAGAAGCTGTGTTGAACTTTTATTGTGCCTACCTGTTGAGTTATCAGATAAACAGTGGGAACAATTTCAGACACTGGTGCAGGTGAGAATATCTACCTATTAGATTTCATATAGGCATTTCTTCTGTCTGTTTTCTTTACTCTTAATAAATTTTTTGATTACACTTTAAAACAGCTGAGTCCTAACAAGTATTAATTACAGCTCTTATTAACACTAATATCATGCATATAGTAGATGTTCAATAAATGTGTGCTAAATGAATAAATTACATTTAGATAGACTAGATTGGTTGGATATTGCACTGTTCTTTAAGATCAGTTTAGGACTTTGCCAGACCAGAAAGGGAAAACAAAAGAAAATGCCCTAATTTGTATTTAGAAACAGTTTAACTAATCTGCAGTATGTTTATAAGAATTTAATGTATCATTTAATCCTTATGAAAACTTTGTGGGGGTAGGTATATTTTTCCCATTTTAAAGGTGAGGAAACTGAGGCTCATACTTTAAAATATTTATCTGCTCAAATTTGTACAGCTGATATTATAAAGTAGTTACTTGAATCAAGGTTCTTCATTCCAGAGTTCATGCTTTTCTCCTATAACTGAAAACACATGCTTTGTCTCTTTTATTTAGTGATATTATTCTACTTTACATAAGTACTACACAGTTTAATACTTAGTTGTCTTGGAATATTTTCAAGAATGTTAAATTTTGTTTCAAGCACTAGATTGTGCTGGATATACTATAGCTGGACATACTATATGTTTTGATTAACTGATTAATTAAAAAGAATATTTCTGCTAGCTAGTTTCAGAAAGTATAGTTGTCTCTTTCTCTAGCCAGAGTTCTTAAAATATATTTTGGCTTGATGTTTTTCTTTAGGAGATATATTAAAGAGAATTTTATTCTCAAATTTTAGAAGCATGTGAAATAAACTAGGTAGAGAAGTCAGCTTTCCTATTTCAATATTAACCATTAAAATCTTCATCAGTTGCAAAATTCTTGAAGGTAGGATTCATATCTTAATATCCTAGGATTCCACATAGTATCTTACACATAATACTTAGTTGTTTGTTGAAATGAAGGTGTCTTGTCTTGTTTGTCCTGTTGCAAATAACTTTTTGATCATGTAGTTTCTACCTCAGCATATCAGTAACTCATGTATTAGGTTATTTTCCCCAGCAAGTATTTATTTTTAGGAAAATAATTATTTTAGAGCTCTTCATTATTTGGCATTTTATCCCAGAATTAAGTTGTTTATATGCAAATACAGTACTGAATTTCTCATTATTTTGTTTGTTGACATAAGATAAACTTTTAAACTCTCCTTTTTGAAACAGTAGCACTAGTTGATACTTTTTCTTATGAGTTAATGAGAAGGAAATTACTCTTTAAATCCTTATGTGGTAGCTTTCAGCAATTACTCAAAGAAAATTTCTTCCAGCACCGGAACTTGTTGCAGCGGGAAGACTCTATGGCTCTGAGAAATAGACTTTTTGTATAAACGTAGTATGTAACTTTAAGAGTTTCCATGACACTTTGCTCTCATTTCAGAGAGCAAAAGTGTCCTTGGGTTTATTTTATACCTGCTTCACAGCATTTGTTCCATTTAGCCTGTGCTTCACTGTTTTAACCTTTCTTTACCCCAGAAGAGGATAAGCCCCATAAATGCAGGAACCTGTACCTCTCTCCCCTAGTTCATTGCCCATAGACATTCCCAGTAACATTTTCTGAATTGGATAAAAACTATTGGTCCTTTTGTGTCTTGAAGAATTCACTAAATGTATGAATACTTGGAAACAACTAGTATGCAGGTTTTAGTGTTACAGCTTTAAATAGAACATTACCAAGGCTATATAATAAATAAATGAAAAATCATGCATTTAGTTGTTTTCAAAAGTCCCTTTTATTGGAATATGTGTATGTTGTCACTTAGGCCTTGATGCAGATCTGTCACTTTAATGGTGGTTTTTTGGAAAAAGTTTTTTGTTTTTTGGATTTTTTTTTTTTTTTTTTTTTTTACTATCAGAGATATAAAATGTGTAAGGTCTTTTATGCTGTGGATATTCTGATAGCTTCCTTGAGAAATAACTTTGCTCTTCATTTAGATTTTGGGGGAAAATAAGTTTGACCTATTTGTAGAAATACATTGCATTTATTTAAAATTTATAATTGATACAATTCTTACCTTGAGATTCATCTTTAAAAATCAGAAGTAAAGGAATTCAGCACTTTGTTATGTGATGTGAAAGTTTTAAGATAAAAGTCTTACTTTTCTAAAGTTAGTATTATATTTAGAGCCTGATAAGCTTGCTTTTAAAAATCTGTTGTAATTCTTTGGATGTTTATTTAATATTTATAGGTAGCTCATGAAAAGCTGATGGAGAATGGCAGCTGTGAATTGCATTTTTTAGCTACTCTAGCTCAAGAGACTGGGGTGTGGAAAAACCCGGTACTGTGCACTATTCTTTCCCAGGAACCATTGGATAAGGATAAAGGTAAATTTTCTAGAGAGAGAGAAAAAAAATCATTAGACTAGAAAAAAAATGAGTACTTAAAAAATTGTTTTGATAAGTATAATTCATCTCAAGATTTCCCAGAGAAGGACCATTTAATTAAATTTTAGCTGAGGTACTCGAGGCCCTTCACCATTATTTTATTTGGGGGAAGATGTATTTATAGGATATTAAATCTTAAAGTAACAGAAAAACTAAAATTTTTCCCAACATCTTTTCAGTAGAGGAATTCCCTCTGCAACATCCTGACAGGTGGCAGTCTAGCTTATATTTGATAACTTACTTGACAGATGGAGAAGCAGACGTAGAGTAGTTAAATGATTTTCCTCAGAGAAAGAAATTCATGCTAGAATTCTCAAGGCTTTTGCCTCTAAGAGTAATACTCTTTCTCAGCTTATTGCTCCATCTTATTTTATTCCATTTTGTTGTTATTGTATGAGCTTGGGCAATAAAGATCCCGGTTAAATTGGCAGATACCCTGTTGGAAGTAGATGGCTAAGTGACTGATAATATGTATAACACTTAATATTCAGAGCTTAAAAACTATACACCATGAAGAAGAGTACACTTACAGTCTTTGGTACTTTTCTTGAAATTATTTAGGAAAGTACCCAGATTTCATCCAAACCTTTTCCACGGTATTTAACCGAAGAAGTAAATAAACTACTTCAGTTGTCTGTTGCTTTGCTTGTTGACTGATGGCAAACTCTAGGTATTTTCCTATGTGATAGCAAATTGTGGAGGCTCTGAGAAAGAAGTGTTAGGTTCATTGTTTTGAACTCTTCTGGTACTTTGATATTTACCAAAAAGGCTTCCCAGCCAGTCTCCAGATTTCTCTTCCAGCTGGTTTTTCCTTCCTGGCTCCCCTCTTAGCCATTTCTCCATGCTTTCCGGATAGTTCTAGCAATGTTACCTGTTTCTTAATTTTCATAAGCAGATGATTTTTAGTATTGGCTTCCATCATGGATATCCACAGATTAGCTACAGTGTTCTTGAGACCTTGGAGAAATGGGGAGTGGACCCTCATTACTTAATAATAACAACATTTAAAAGTTGAGCATCTTAGATTTTTTTGCCTTTGGCATATTGGTTTTATCCAAGTATACTAAAACCACTATGATTTTGTTCTTATAATCAAATTATACTTTCTAATCTCAGCTTTTGGAAATATTTGATGTAATATATTAATAATAATATCAAAATACATTGTATTATTCCTAACAGTTTGAAATGTGCTTTTATATACATGGTTTCATTTAACCGTCACAATGATTCTGTGAAAAAAGCAGGATCTTTATTATCCCTATTTTACAGATGAGAAATGGAGGCTCAGGAAGATTGGTTGTCTTTTCTAAAAGATCACGTTGCCAGTGATGTGAGGCAGAGCCAGGAATTGAAGTTAGGACTTCTCTTCTTTTTATATCATGCCTTGTTGCACCTAGCCTAATACCTGTAAATAAAATTCCACCTAGCTTAAAGAATTAACTCCTCTTCTCTGTTGTCAATTTCTGAAGAGATTTTGCCAACCTCACTACGCTAAATAGGAAAATAGAACCTTTACCTTAGCAGAGATTTAAGATTTATTTTAAGAGTATGTGCTCAGTTTCTTTACTTGCTTAAATGTGCTTAACATTATTTCTATTAACAAAGTCTCTGCCCATTTCTGTGCTTCTCTGTTTCTTGTTCTTTGCCTGACATAGCTTCTGGAGTAATTTGTGCACTATAAAGCCAAGAGGAGTTTCTTACAATAGCAGGGCATTGTAGGTAGCCAGACTTTAACACAACTCAGATGTTAAGTGACAGATTTTGCAGCTATAACCTTTACTTGGTCCTCTGTTACTTAGAATGTCTCTTTGATGGGAGTTATTTTATGGCTAATCACTTAAACTAGAACTGTATGTTTATTACCTCCTTTGGAAAAGTTGAGGGAATTAACATTTTACACAAAAATACTAGTGTATTTATATTTTCAAATGTGGTGGTTGTAAAGGATGGGGAGCTTTTAGTTTTACCTATCCAGCCCCTTAGTTTAACTTAATCTAGCCTACAGCAAGTTTGAAGTGAAGACCTAGGGCTTAGAGAATAATGGGTACATCTCAGTAGGTTATGCTCATTAGTTTGTTTATAGTGAAGACTCTAGAGGTTTGATGTGGTTTTGAACAGTAATCCACTTCTGAATTTTTTTTTAATTGACTAAGTTTGGACCCACTAAAAGCCAGCTAAACCAAGAAATGAATGCTCTTTGATTTGGGGGAATTGAGGGTGGGTAGAACTCAAAATTTTAAATGCTGGTTTCATTTTAAGGTTTTAACATCCTATAATAAAGTAACTCTAATAACTAAATCAAATATTCAAGTAGATGGCCTTTGACTATCACAGGAACTTTAAGCCTATATATTACTTGTGCCTTTGGTCATGATCTCAAGATTGGAAAGACCCTGAATGCTTTTTTTTTTTTTTTAACCCACTTTTAGCTCCCTTTTAAACATCATGATAATGTATTGGCCTTTGCTTGAATACTTCTAGAGAATTGTTTGCTAGGTAGTTCAGTTCATTCTTAACCTATGATTAGAAAAGCTTCAATGTGAAAATTGTGAAAACTATATTCTTAGAATTCCATCTTTTGTATCTAGTGCTACCCCTCAAGCTATGGCAAACAAAGTGTAAATCCCTCTTTCATGCCATAGCAATGGAGATTTTTAAAGATTTTAAATCTACATTCATGATTCATGTTTGTTTTTTGTTTTAATGTTTATTTATTTTTGAGAGAGAGACAGTGTGAGCCAGGGAGGGGCAGAGAAAGAGGGAGACTTTCCGAAGCAGGCTTCAGGCCCTGAGCTGTCAGCACAGAGCCCGATGCAGGGCTCGAACCCATGCACCGTGTGATCATGACCTGAGCTGTAGTCAGACACTAACTGACTGAGCCACCCAAGCACCCCCATGATTCCTGTTTTTCTAATGCATTTTGTTTTCCCTTTAATGTAGAACCTCATGTGTACCCTAAATATGATCTGGCCAGCTTTGAAGTCATTGGTACTCTCATATTTTTCATTCTAACATTTTATACCTGTTAGTATGACTTAAGATGACGTTAACCTTTCTGGGTAGCCAGATCATGCAACTTGGTGACATTACTAAAATCACACAGAATTTTTTAAAAAACTAAATACTACCCTTAAATTATCAGTGACATATTTTAAAGTTAATTTATTTTGAGAGAGATTAAGAGAGAGGGCACAAGCAGGGGAGGGGCAGAGAGAGGGGGAGAGAAAATCCCAAATAGGCTCCAAGCTGCCAATACAGAGCCCGACAGCACAGAGTCCAATGCGGGGCTTAAACTCACGAATCGTGAAATCATGACCTGAGCCAAAATCAAGAATTAGACACTCAACTGACTGAGTCACCTCTCAACTATATTTTTATACTTTGTCTTTTGGCATACAAGGCATTGCTTTTTTCCCCCCATCCTGCTTAATTTCACTGTTAGATTCATTGTCTCTGCAATTTGTCAATACTCTTTTAAGTGTTGAATTTGTTATTCGAGGTTTTTGTTCTTACACGTGTCCTCTAATTAACATATATTCTGTTGGCATCCAGGTCCTTGATAATAACCATAAAATGGTCGTGTCCAGAAACCTAGCCTCTGGGATACTTCTAGAAATCTTCCTTCTTGCCTTCAGTCCTTTAATCAGTATTCTTTGATTATGGTTGTTTGGGCAAATATTCCTATTTTTCCTTTTCTCTGGTCCATGATTCTCCTTTTTTATATATAAGGATTGGGTGAAAGACCTTAACCTTAAGTATGTGGCTAGAGTTCTTACAAGTAATATTGTTTAATATTGAGGTTACTGTGACCTAATTTATTATTTTTAAAAATGAGCTTTTTTTAAAGAATAGTTTTAAATTGTGAAGAGTCCCTATATACTCCACAACCGGTTTCCTTACTCTTCATATCTTAAATTAGTATGCTACATTTGTCACAATTAATAAACCAATATTTATACTGTGTTATTAACTAACTTCCATACTTTATTCAGATTTCCTTAGTTTTTACCTAATGTCCTTTTTCTGTTCCAGGATCCCATCCAGGATACCACATTACATTTAGTCGTCATGTCTTCTTAGGCTCCTCTTGGCTGTGACAGTTTTTCAGACTTTCCTTGTTTTTGATGACCTTGACAGTTTTGAGGAATACTGGTCAGGTATTTTGTAGAATGTCCCTTAACTGGGAGTTATCTGATGTTGCTCTCATGATTAGAACTGGGCTTATGGATTTGGGGAGGAAGATCACAGAGGTAAAATGGCACTGTTGTCACATCGTATCAGGGGTACATACTCTCCGCATGACTTCTTGTTGATATTAACATTACTTGATCACCTGGATGAGGTAGGATGTTTATCAGATTTCTCTACTTTAAAGTTACTCTTTTCCTCCCTTTCCATATAGTACTCTTTGAAGGAAGTTACTACATACAGAGCACATGTAAGAGGTAGAAATTTAAGCTCCACTTCCTTGAGAGGGCAGTATCTATACAGATTATTTGGAATTCCACAACATGGACTAATGAATATTCATTGTCTACTTTGGTCATAATCCAATACTACTTTATTTTAGTTGCTCAAATTATCCCAGCTTTGGCCATTGGAAACTCTTTGATTCAACTGCTTCGTCCCTTTTACATGCCCCCTTCGTTGTGGGTTGTTTTTTATTTGAGTACTTCCTTGCTTTCTGACACTACAAGGTACTCCAGCTTATTTTGCCTATTACCTACCCCAGTCCTAAAATCAGCTATTTTCCAAAGAGCCCTTGTTCTTTTTCTTAGGGACTAGTATTAGAAACTAAGACCTGATAACTGGGTGTGTTCATTGCTATGGAGGTGTTATTGCTTCTAGGACCTTTCAACAGACAAAGCAAGAAAATATATGCAGGTATACTGAGCTGTGTATATACAGATCCGTAAATATTTCTATATGTAACCAGC